GAGAGAGAGAGAGAGAGAGAGAGAAAGAGAAAGAGAGAAAGAGAGAAAGAGAACGAGTTTCCGCGTCCCCGAATTCGACGATCGCAATCGATTCGAAAATGAGAAAAGACAGAATGAACGATCGATTTATTGCATCCCTTTTTTACTTTATCTCTAGGAAAAAAAAAAAAAAAGAAGAAAGAAAAAAAGAAAGCAAAAAGAAAGAAAGAAATAAAATGGAAAGAAAATACAAAGGGGCAAAATGAAAGATAGAAAGAGAAATGGAATAAAATTGGAAATAGGAAATAATAGTGATAAAGAAAGAAATAAAGAATTAAATGATCAAATGTAAGGAATAATTATGAAATTGTTCTTACCTGCTGTTTGGTAATATATATAGGTTTGTTCAATATTATCCACGTCGTGGTCTCGTGGCAGGCCGGCATCGTGGTCGAACCATCGTACGTCATGTAATGCTTCGTGTCCGGTAGAAGATCGCGTACGACGAAATGTGCAATTTCCACGGCCTGCCCTGTGCAATTCGTTCGGTCGATAACGTCAAACATGCCACGTACGCAACACACCTACATCCAACGGATTAGTATCGACATACCGAATACAGACTTGCATTCTGTTACATCCGTTATGCAGGTATCTTTGTCTTCCGACGTATGCATACACAGATAGATTTTCATGCATGTGTGTGTGTGTGTGTTTATTTCTACGTATTTCGAGCCCTTTCCCTCTCACATTTTCACATATAAACGTGGATTCCTCTCTCTCTCTCTCTCTCTCTCTCTCTTTCTCTCACGCATATACATATACACATACTCGCGAACATCCGATCGAATAGTTTTCTCCTTCCAACGAATGGACACGAAGAAAACGTTTCGAATGGAAATCAAATGGTTTTCAAAGCTTTACAGGACGAGCCAATCGATTCTTTATGCACCACCACTCCCCCCACCCCTCACATTCTCCGAATCGTTGCCTTTACTTTTTGTTTCTATCCTTATTTTCCATCTCCGTATATTTTGCGCTTACAAAAGTATAGCTTGTGTGTGTGTGTACGCATTTTAGAATAATACTTTTCTTATTTCCGCCGACCCCCTCCCCCCAACTCCTTTATCAATGGTAAAAATGGACCGTCCCCCGTACCCCTAGCACCGTGTCTCCTTTCCTTTCTATTTCTTTCCCTATTTCGAAATAGAACAATTTACCGAAAAGAGATAGATAGGAAAAATCGTTCGTAGAAAGAATCCCATTTCTTTTCCTTCTTCTTCTTCTTCTTCTTCTTTTCCTACTTTCTTGTTATTTCTTATTTTTTTTTTTGTTCTCGTCGCGACAAAAATATGAAGACGAATTTAAAAGTTGGAGACACAGAATTATTGGTCGTGCAACGTTGAGATAGTTCGAAAAGGTAATAACGTAAAAGAGTTTTCCGTCCGAGATTAACGTTTTTCTTCTTTCTTACTTCACTACTACTAAGAACAAATGCGATAAGGGTTGGGAAAAAAAAAACAAAAAAAAAAAATATACAAGCTTTCCCTTCCACACAGGGCTTGTATATATATATAGAAAGTACGTGGATATCTTACTTCCTTGACAATTGAAAAAAAAAAAGGAAAAAAACGTTGACGCGTCGTGCTCATTTATCTGGTGGCACGTTTACATTTTATATATACATATACATATATATAAAAATATATGTTAACGCGAGAGAGACGGTATCGTGAAACATTAACAAAGAGAGAAAACGTGCGCGAAACAGCCTCTCCTACTATCCGACAATATACATTAACGCGAAACAAGTTTACCGTTAAATAAATGAAATGGATTTTGATGTCTCCCTCTTCTTTCCTTCTTTTTTTTTTTTTTTTTTTCTCGCACGTTTCACAGAGGGGACCGAGAGAAAGAGAGAGAGAGGGAGAAAGTGGAAATAAAAAGCGTTTTCGAGAGCAGAACATGTCGTGCTCGGTACCATATAACTTCTGTCTAAAACGGCTTTTTCCGTATCTCCATCAGAAACAGAGAAATTCGCACGAGAGAATTTCAATAGGACATCCTGCAAGTTTTACTCTTCTCTGTGTATGCATACATACACACACACACATATATATATATGTGTATATGTGTGGGTATGAATGACCTTACCAATCCTCTTCTATATATACAAGAATGTCTGCTGCTCTAATATACGTGTGTGTATGTGTGTGTTTGTACGAGGTAAAAAAAAAAGAGAGAGAGAGAGAGAGAGGAATGTGTATGTGTGTACGCTCGAGTGGCATAGCAGTATAAGTCAATTATTTCTTTTGACGAGAATCACTAAAGTTCGGTTGAAAATTTTAATGGAAAAATCTGGGCAAAGTTTAAAGAAGCTAGAGCGGCCTACGGGTGACCAATCACGGTCGAATCGAATTATTATTTTTGACTTTGGCCCGTTTTCTTTCGAACTAAACGAATCATTTTATCTCCTTCCATTTATTTCTCTCTTTTTGTTTTAACTTCTTCCGAAAGTATGTGTCCTACGTGTATGTATATACGAGAGAGAGAGAGAGAGAGAGAGAGAGAGAGAGAGAGAAAGAAAGAGAGAGAAATAAAGATACAACATTAAACAAATAAAACGAGTAAGTTCATTGTACGAATATAACGTTACTTTGTTTTTTTTTTTTTAATCCAAAAAATTCATCTCGAATAAACAGAAAAAAAAAAAAAAGAAAAAGTAATTTAATTATTATACGCTTTCACGTTAATATCATTAACGAAAAAATAACTATCAACGCCGTGTCGCGTCGAGATATTTTGATATTTTTAATGGAACAAAAAAAAAGAACTAAAAATACTTGAATTTATTTTTCGTACCACGTATAATTTATCATCCATGAGATAAAAAACAATATATATATATACTTTCCAATGAGATGTTGGATGTAATATACGAAATTATGTTTAAATTATTGTCGAAATTTTCGTCGAAAATCGATCTAAATCTGTGTATAAAAGATAAGGTCTAAGAATAAGAGAATTCGGAGACAAGGTAGAATTGATCTAATCACACATAGGATATGCGTGATCGCATGCATAATGCTTCACACGTCCTCGGCGGCATCTCACCTCCGTATTTGATTTTATCCAGTTGCTCGGTAAACGTTCTCAACTGTGGATTTGACAGATCTCCTACCTAAAAGACAAGTAGTAGGTGTCTATAACGTATCACATATTCTGATCACATCTTCTCTATCTTCTCTCTCTCTCCATCTCTCTCTCCTTCTCTCTCTCTCTCTCTCTCTCTCTCTCTCATTCACTCTCAGTCTCTTAGTTCGTGTCTATTCCCTTTACTCTTGTCACACGACTATCGATAAACGTTGACAATAAGAACAAGAGAGAGAGAGAGAGAGAGAGAGATAAAGATAGAGAGATAGAGAGAGAGAAAGAGAGAGATAAAGATAAAGTAGAGATGTAGAGAATAAAGGGAAGAAAAAAGGATAAAGCATGTATTTACCTGAAGTAAAAGGGAGACTGCAACGATCCCTTGTGCTCTGTGCAACGCGTCCGAGAAATTGTTGTACAACTGGGAATTAAATCCGAATATTTGGAGCTGTAATGAGAAAAAAAAAAAATTGAAGAAAAAGAAAAGAACAAAGTAGTAAGAATATAAATGGAGAGAGAGAGAGAGAGAGAGAGAGAGAGAGAATGATGGGGTGGAGGAGGAGACAAGAGGGTAGGAAAGAAGAATAAAAAAAAAAGAAGAAAAATGAAAGAAGGAAAATGGATAAAGGATCCCTGGTATTCGGTGGATAAGAATAGAAAAGCTCGTTTCGGAATAGGGAATACTCGTGCCGGTGAAAAGGTCGCAAAGGCACTCCTTTATTTCGATGGGATCGCTAATCCAATTAATTTAATCGAACCGTACCCGTACCCGTACCCGTACCCGTACCCGTTCGAAGGAATACATAGGCGAGTGAGACAACGGCCCTTTATTGGTTCCAGACACGGGATACACCTTGCTTTTCGTCTACTTATTCTTCTTATTCTTCTTTTTTTTTTTTCCTTTTTTTTTTGTTTTTTTTTTTTTTTTTTTTTTTTTATTTTTATTTTAAGATGTAAAGTTGATCTAATAAGTACAGAGGTGTTTTTTTTTGTTCTTTTTCTTTTTCTTTTTTTTTTTCTATTATATTATATATTATAAAAGCTATCAAAAAATGTTGTCACAGATGTGAAATAAGATCGATTAGATACGAACCCTAGTAGCCCCAAGGATCCGTGCTCGAGTGTCGATAAACCGGAAAGACACTTGATAACAATCTTCTTCCACTTCTTCTTCTTCTTCTTTTTCTTCTTTTTTCTTTTACATTTTTGAAGTACCCCACTTTTAATATTTAGAATATTCATACGTTAGAATCGGGGCAAAATTTTGCGATGAGATTTTGTCTTTTTTTTCTTTTTTCTTTTTTTTTAAATAACTCACAGAGATATATATATAAGGATATCGCGTTTCTGAATTTTCTATTCTAATAATTAAATCAATTATATTAAAGGCTATGTAAAGAAAATCGCGAAATTACGTTTATACCCAATACTAATTGGATAAAAATAACGTATCATTTATTTAGAAGAATATTTTCGAATCGAATTTGCGATCGAGTTTGAACGTAAATTTAATAATGAAAATTCGGTCGTTTACCTTGTCTGACAAAATTCAAAGTTCAATATACGGAGTGATATTCGAGTGATCATAATATAGAATGGTAATGTTAATTAAATCGACTATAAACGGTTGAAGAACGATTTTTTAGTTGGAAGAAAGAACGAACGAAAAAAAAAAAAGAAAAGAATAAATGATATTAAGGTCGTAAAAATATCTCAACCCTGTAGTCATAGTTACAATTGAATGATCGTATTTGAAGATGATAATTAATCATACATAAATATCGATAACTATATATACATACATACAAGTATATACAGATATTCATATACACGCGTACACTATCAGCAGAAAGTTAGGAACGAGAAGCATCGTAAAGCAAAACCTTTAGGTGTCCCAATGAATAAAAATCCAACGAATATTAGGATCAGGTGGATCAATTAATTGGCGGCCTTCCACAATCGATCCATTTATTTGGGTATAGTACGCATAGTACGTGAGAGATAAGAAGCTTACCATACGTAAGTAGTATTACAACAAGTTATTAGAAAAAAAAAAGTTTAATATGAATTATTGGAAAATACACGAGAATATATATATATATATATATATTATTTGTGAATTAAAAGTCAAATTGGGTATAGGATAGTAAAACACTTTAGGTAACGTACTTTGTTAGCGTACTTTGAAACAAACACTTCGTATAAGATAAGTGACGTCAGGTGTAAGTTGGGAGAAGAAAGGTGGGACGATATCAAATGTGTTATTGGCACGTAATAGATGAATCATCGTTAAACAAATAATAGTAAAGGAATAGAGTTAGGTAAACTAGACACCCACCTCAGCGGGAAACGCGTGTCCATCTATAGTATGCTCGCTACCTATGTGGTTCTCCAACCCAAAATGCAGGTGAATCTCGTGGAATTGGTAGCGGTAGCTGAGGGGCCCACCGGATATATTGACAGGATGGCGGGTATCGTTTTCGACCGCGAATACCACACTGTGACCGGTGTTTGCCAGGACTCCCCCTACTTTGTGCTTGTCGAGGTGAAGTGGCTGTAAGTTTGGGTCGAAGAGAAGTCTGCTCGGCTCCAAGTTCACCGGTGATTGTCGTCTACCTTTGTTACATAGCCACCAATCCGGATTTATCAGGCCCCAAAATGCTGGACCTTTCAACATTCAAATATAACAAACGTTTTGTATTTATTTCATTTGTTGTATTTTTTTTTTGTTTTTTTTTTTTTGTTGGTTTCTGTCGCTCTGGGCTAACAAAAAGAAACGTTCGATTTTGGACGATGATAAGTTTGCGTTTTTCCTTTTTTTGTTTTGTATATAAATTTTTTTTTTATACCGCGATAAATAACACGGAGAGATTTAAATACGAGATTGATCGGTGACGTCGATTTTAAAAGAGAGAGAGAGAGAGAAAGAGAAAGAGAGAAAACTGTTCGTTTCTCGATGAAAAGTACCGAAAAAAAAAAAGAAAAGAAAAAAAAAAAAATGGAAAAAAGCGAAAAGGATGTTCTACCGTAGAGGAAAATTTATATCGCCGTAGCGATTAGAATCAACGTCGAATCTCGACGTTTGTGAAATATGTTCTTACATTTATTTCGATGCTCTTCGATATCTCCGACCGCCCAAAAACGGAAATTACGTTCCATGACTTTCGGAAGATTTTCTCGTCGAAGAAAAAGAAGACTACTACTTCTACCTGATACCACATAACTCTTTCTCACTTAAGCGTATGATATTCGATAGAATTTATATTTAAGATTGCTGATAAAAAGTGACAAAAGAAAAACAAAATCCAACGAAATTACGATAAACAAATTAAAATGAGGAAGAAAAGCTTTCTGTGAAAGAGAATAAGGAAAATATAAATAGTGGTAATAAAAAGAAGAAACATTGTCGAGTTGGGGGAAAAAAAGAAAAGGATAAAAATATCGGGTGAAACATTTTTCTATGTTTTCAAAAGAAACATTTTTCTTTCTTTACGAATAAAAACGCGAAGAATAAGGGTTAAAGGTACCTATATTCTAGTGTGTTGCTTTGGTGAAATCTATAAGTCAGACTTATCCCTTCTCGGTCATCCACGAAGTGCAAACACATACGTTAACTCACACGAAAACCCATAGAAAGAGAGAGAGAAATAGAGAAAGAGCTCTTTCCCGTACGGTCATCCCTCTGGAGACTGATTCGACGAGCACGATTTAAAACTTGGACCGAGTTTATCTCTAAAAGCCCAGCAACGCCCGGGATATATCCATGGAATTTATCATTCGAGCGTGCTCCAATTTTGAAGTCGCGCTACGAAGGGTGAACACAGAAAAAAGAAAAAGAAAAAAAACGTAAAAAAAAAAAAAATATAGAGAGAAAGAGAGAAAGAACGCAACCGAGCCCTTCGTGACGTCCTGTAATTACTTTTTTTTTTTTTTACCATCCTTTTAACGAAACGCGAACTCAACTATAACGGCAAAGAGAGAAAAAGAGAGAGAAAGAAATAACGAAAAGAAGACGAGGATCGAAGGTAACGGGGGTTTGGACGGTTCAGAGCGAGGGGCGGCGAGGGGAGAATTGTAAAGGGAAGAATATTAAGCGAATTTACTAAAGGGCTGGCTAGCGTTTTTACGCGGATCGACTAGGGCGGAAAAAATGAAAAAAAGAGTAAAAAAAAAAAAAAAAAAAAACTGAACGTTCTCATCGTACTCCGCGTGCTTTCGATAAATCCGTGGACGTTTGAAAAATTTACTATGGATTCTATTTAATTGTTACACTAGACGAGAATCGACGATTGCTCGTACCTATTCGAGAGAGAGAGAGAGAGAGAGAGAGAGAGAGAGAGATGAAAATAGAAAAGAAAAAAAAACAAAAGAGAAGAAAATAAGAGAGCTAGCGAAGAAGAGTGGGAGAAAAAAAAGAGGTATCAGCTTTATGGAAGAGGAATGAAAAATTATTAAACGAATAAATAAATTATTGTATCGAACCCTTACCAGAAATACCATCGTACGTCCACCATTCCTCCCAGCTGACCGGTTTGGATTCTGAAAAATAAACAACAAAACGTTGCCGAGACGTATTATATCCTTTTTGTTTTTTTTATTATGTTCGTTTTACTCAAAATATCTTTCATTATTGTGTGTATCCGCTTTTAAATATGTATATTATATATATATATATATATTTGTATATCGTTAGTGTTTGGGTATATGATTAGAGAAAACAAAAATGAAATGGAAGAGTGGAAGAGAATTATTGTGCAAACCGATATTCGTTGAGGGTGGGGGGAAGGAAAGGGGGTTTTCAAAATCGTCGAGCTTGTTAAACGTGACCGAACGTTCATCGAATGTGTAATTAGGTATCTATTTTCCAAAGAGAAACGGTGAGGAAGGGAGGGAAGATAGGGGATGAGATTAAATAATTATAAACTCTGGCAATATGATAAGGTCACAGAACACGAGGTAGGCATTTAGTAAAAAATTCATTAGACATCGTATTTCCAATTGAAATATGTACACACATCATATATATATGTGTGCGTGCGTGCGTGTGTGTGTGCGTGCATACGAATGCACGTGTATCCCCTGTTTTGCCATCCAGAAATTACCATCCATATCTATCTATACGTATCGTTTTACTTTTCGCCATTTCAAATAAATTAGATTTACGTTATAAATACGGTTCGTTAAGTTCAGAAATGATCTATCCAAACATAACGAGCAATGTAAATTTGCAAAGTTTACTTAAATAAGACGTATCATGAAAAGGTGATAAGCTATATATATAAGAGTTTACGTAGATATATATATATATATATACACATTCGTGTAAGGAATTTCGTGACTCGTTAGTATTAATAAAGATTACCTTGGATCAAAACGATGACGAACACTCCCCAGACACCGAGGAATACGGTACCGAAAGGAGCCATCCCTTGCGTTGCTCAATTTTCGTCAATTTAACATCATTCGGGAATCCCAGATAGGTTATCTGTAAGCAAATAATAATAATAAACAACTAAATAATATATTAATTCAGTATTTTCTCTCGTCCAAAATTATAATTCTTGATGATAAGGGTTCATAGGGAACTTGGACATAAAAAGAAGTAGAACTTAATTTAAAACTAAGTTCCCTATCAACCCTTATCATTTAATAATATATTAATGTTAATAAGATAGATAATGTTGATTAAAACAAATTCAAAATTATACGACATCCATGAAAGGATGATGATGATGATGAAGAAAAAAAATAGGAATCGAATGAAAGCAACTTGAGAGAAAGGTGGATGTGCTCTCGCGTGTCCCGTTCCACGTGTCTTTACGTCGTTCGAGAAAGTTTCGTGCAGGGGCTTCAAGTTCAAGTCTGGCTTCGAGGTCGGACAGGGTGCCAAGCAGGGTGTTGAATGTAAGTCAACCGGCCTTTCCCTCGCATTCTAACTTTCTAAATCGAGAAGAACTTTGCGAATACCTCGATAAGAATAACCACCTGGAGAATGGGGGGGGGAGGGAGGGAGTTAGGCAGGGGACTACGTTCGTGCGAGTATATCAGAGGAAAGAGAACGAAAAAAAGAGAGAGAGAGAGAGAGGGAGAGAAAAGTTAGCTGAACGTTCTTGATTTTGACTGGAATCCCTTGGAAAAAAAGGGCGAATCTTCCTATAGGTATTCTCAAAAAATATCAAGTATCTCTTCTTACATTAGATTCAAATCTCATCGATATATAAATCTTTCTATACTTTTATACTAAATAATAAAGTAATGACGTTTTATATCCCTTTTACTTGTTACTTTCTATTTTTTTTTCTTTTTCTAAAGGAAGAAAGTGAGAGTAGCGACCTTGATATTGAATAGAAAGAAACGTAGTAAAAGATTTTCGTTGACATGGACATACCGGTGAAACAATTCCAAGGTATAAGGGTGGTTCGTTGGGATTTTTTTTCTTTTTTTTTTTTTGTTTCCTCGTAGCCTCAAGCATTTCCTTCGCGTCGGGCGTCTCTACCGTTTTTCAAAAGCAAACTCTCGACCGTTTCTTACCAATATTACAATATATATATATATATATTGTAATATTATATACCGTTAGATATATTATTTCAAATAACGATCCTTCTTCTCGCGTTCGGTACGAAATAATCCTTCGTTAGTTTAACGAAAGTACGGTATAACGAAAGTACGGGATAACGAAAGCGTTATGTTTTCGGTTGAATAGAAGAAAATTCAATACGAACTTTTTTTTTTCCATCCTTCCCCTTATTCCTTTTCTTCTTTCTCTTTTTTTTTTTTTTTTCTTTTCATTTTTTTATTCTTTCATTTCTACACATTTCTTTCCTTTACTCTTTAATCTTTTTTTTTTTTCTTTTTTTTTTTTTATTTCAGGATAGCCTCGTTAGACCGAAAAGCGTGCCCCACGCACTCGAGGAAGGCTTTCGCGCTCCGTTGCACCAGCTACCACGTCTGAGATCTTTCCTTCTCTCTTTACGTTTCATCCTCGAGATGAGAGAGAAAAAAAAAAAAAGAGAAAGAGAAAGATAGAATAAGAGAGAAAAAGAAGAAAATGCCATTTCAATGAGGCTACGTCTCTAACGTAAGCATACGAAGACAACGACGAGTTTCTATCTTTCTCTCTTTCTCTCTCTCTCTCTCCATCTCTTTCTCTCTCGTTCTCTGTGAAGAGGCTAACTACCCTACTACGTTCGAGTTAAAACAAACTCGTGATCGCAAGAGACTCCCTTTGTACGAGAAACGCAGTCTCTGAATTTGTTTTACGAACGAGATAGAGATAGAGAAAGAAAAATATAGTGAGTGCTTTGTCAAGGTGCAATCAATTTTCCTTGCTCTTATCAGCGAGCAATAGTATCCACGTACAACAAAGAAAACAAGTATACGAAAGAATCGTGAAAGAGGTCTCGATTGTCTCAAGACGAATCAAGGGGAAAAAGAAAACTCCTGAGATAGAAAAATACAGAAAGATATATATATATATATATATATATATATATAGATATAGATATATGGAAGTAAAGTATGTCTTATTCTTTTTCTTTTTCTTATTCTTTTTCTTCGTCATCGTCTTATGTTAGTTCTCATCGTTATAGTCATAGTCGTCGTCATATTAATCTTTGTTAACAAAATAAAAGATAAATCTGCAATCATTGCTGTCAGATTCGTCGTTTAAAAAAAGGAAAGGGGTGTGGTGGGATTTTGAGTGTTACCCCTACTTCTAGCCATTCTAAAATCCACTCCACCCCATTCCACGAGGTGGAACACTCGAAACGGTGTATTCTTAGGTCAGGAAAACTCAAGTAGGCTCGCTTCGAAAGTCGATCGATCGATGAGATCTTGTGTCACCTCTTCTCTACTTCATCTTTACTCTCTCTCTCTCTCTCTCTCTCTCTTTCTCTTTCTTTCTTTTTCTTTGGTATCATTCGACGAAGTAGTCACGAACGAAGTATAACACGTCAGGTGGGTAGACACAAGGAAAAATCTTTGGCCAGAGGATAAGAAAAGAGAGACGAGAGAAAGAGAGAGAGAAAGAGAGAGAGAAAGGGAGAGAAAAGTGAAGAGAAAAGAAGTGCACTTGTACGTCTCGTTGTACAACCAAAGTGCAATGACTCAAGACTCGAGACTACTACTACTACTACTACTACTTGCCGTTTCCGTTTTACACCAGAAACCGAAAAGAATGGAAGGAAAGTTTCGGTTGATAAGCAATTTGTTATCCAATCCCTTTCATCCTATTATCCGAGAGAGCGACTCCCCCTTTCCTACCCCTCCCACCCCCCTATTTCCCGGATGCTTCTCCCTTTCTCTCTTCGGAGGTTTAGGCGTTAGATACCAATTCGAAAATTTGCCTACGTTGCTCCTCGGTTGTTTCTCGATGAGAAATCGGAGTGCAGTTTAAGGGGATGGTAAGCCGATGATCCGCAGGATTCAACGATGACGACGATGACGCTCGAGTACAATAAACGAGGGAACGGTATAATATCCTAGGAAGGTTAATAGGCAAGATATTTCTGAACTTGATGAGATCCCTTCAATTCGATCACATTGAATTTTAGTTTCGAGGACGCGTAATCGAGTATCTGTAATTTGTTGTTTGCTTGCTTGCTTGATTACTTATTTACTTGCTTGCTTGTTTTCTGTGTGTTTTTATCACGATTTGTACGAGTTATTTTTAAGTTTATTCTATCGTTTCGAACGCGAGCTCCAATTTTATAGATACAAATTGATCTAATCTAGTGAATATGAAGCTGAACCTTTTATCGTTACTCTTTCGATCTATCTATAGAATTATAGATACACTTCGATTATACAATATATATATGTTATATATAACAGATATAACTAGACTTCGGGTTGGAAGATCTTATAACGATTATCACGAAATATTCTAACTGTATATAATAATCCTCCTACGGGGCTATACAATATTGGAATGGGGGATATCTGTAGGTCAGTAAAATTAGAACTTTGAAAGTTCCTTTCGAAGGTCGCTTGCTTGCTCGTTCGTTCGTTCGCTCGATCGATCGATCGCAGGAACCCTTTCTACGTGTGTTTCCTCACTTTCTTGATATTCTCGTCTAAAAAGAGGAAGGAAACAAAGAGAGAGAGAGAGAGAGTGGAAGAATATAGACAAATTTAAAACAATATTTATGATTAGAAACTAAAATAACTAGTAGAATGACCTGTCCCTGTTTCTGATCCTTGGAAGAAAAAATTCTCTCTCTCTCTCTCTCTCTCTTTCTCTATTTTTCTTTTTTTTCTTTTTTCCTTGGTCGTTCAAAGAGGAGAAAGAAGAAAAGGCTACGCGTAAAAATCGATTCGAAGAAACGAGAATGGAAGGTCCTTGCGTTCTCTCTCTCTCTCTCTTTCTCTTATTTTTTCTTTAAACGACGGTACCACGATCGAGATACGAAAAAGAAATGTGGAAAGAGAAGATTAACAGAGATGGAATAAGGGATAGGGAAAAAAGAAAACGTGCCCTTTTCTGAATGACGCACGCGCGTATCTACATTGTCTATCGTTTTCTCTCTCTTTCTTTCTTTCTTTCTTTCTTTTTTTCTCTTCTGTCACGTCAACGTAAAAAACGCGGTCACACGAGGTAGAGAAAAAGAAAAAGAAAAAAAAAAATAGAAAAATAGATTAAAGAAAAGAGACAACAACATTATTGGGGATAATTTTTGGTCGAAATTGAAAAACAGCGTGTCAACAACGTTTTCCGTACGACGAAAACTGTCGAATCTGTCAGTCGCATTTCCATTTCTTTTCGCGTTTATTAAAATAATCCCAACGACAGGGGATGGAGGGGGCTGGAGAAGGGAGGGGAACATGATTTTGTTCGCATTTAAAACATACGAGCTCGGAAAATCGTTTGATATCTGACAAAAAGGTAGTGACAATTTTGTTCGAATGAAAATTATTTTATTAAATAACAATGAGAGAGAGACAGAGAGAGATAGAGAGAGAGGTCAAAATACGTGGCGTGGCTGACCTGTCATCGAGTTTCACTACTTTCTCGTTTAGACAAAAAAATATTCTCTCATTTTTTTTCGTGTCTTTTTCTCTAGGACGAGGACAACGATGACGACAACGACAACGACAACGACGTTTAAGGGGTTGCGCCAGGGTTTGCTAGGATCGAAGAATTCACAGGAACGACTCCTCACGAGGACGAGTCTAGGGAGATAAGAGAGAGAGAGAGATAGAGAGAGGAAGGTGCGAAAGGGTACGGCGCTCGTCGAATCGATCGCGGAAAACGCGTGCCGCCGCGGCGACTCTGCTGCTCACGGCCCGAAACTTCCTCGGTACGATAACCCGGAGTGCTCCTGTGCTGCTGGAGATCAATAAACGCCGATCATCAAGGAAACCAAAATTTATTTATATCGGTTTAAGAGAAAATATATTAAATAAAAAACAATGAAAATATCACGGAAAAGTAGGACATAGGGGTAAAAGGAGAATGAGAGAGAGAGAGAGAGAGAGAGAGAGAGAGAGAGAGAGAGAGAGAGAGAGAGGGATCCTTGAAAACACCCACTCTCTTTCTTTCTTACTTATAAGAGACAAAATAATTCTCGTATAAATAATTATTTTCTTCATATAATACTAACCGATAAGTAAAACTAGTCCCAATTATTCGTCGTCCTTGGAAGTTTGATGGAAAATGGTACCCCCTTTTTTTTGTCTTTACTCGTCAGTCCTCCACCCCCACCGTTCTCTTCTTCAGAATCGGAGTCCAGCACCAACACAACTCGTAGCCGCTTCGGTAACGGAGCGAAGCGGCACCCGGCACTATAAGGGCGCGAGAAAAAGATATACAAACTGATAACGAAGAAGAAAAATAAAAAACAAAAAGTTAAGGTAAGGACACAACAAAAGGAAAAAAATAATAAATAAAAGAAAGAAGAAAAAAATATATAGAACGAGGGAGAGGGTGGATAAATAAACGCCGACCAACGTATTATTATTATTATTATTATTATTTATCAGAGATCCGACGCGTTAGACTGATTGAGAAATAAAAACTGATTATATCTCGCACTAGTAATCGTGAGAACGAATAAGGGAGAAAAATAGAAAGATAGAAAAAAATAGAGAGCGTGTATATGAGAAAGAGAGAGAGAGAGAGAGAGAGAGAGAGAGACAACGTTGTTCCTAGATTCGTTCCTTCGGTACAATTACGTTGGTTGGTTGGTTCGTTCGGTTCTCTCCGTCGTCCAGGTAGGACGGAGGTAAACGACGGAACAGACGACGGAGCAGACGACGAAGTAGACGACGGAACTAAAACGACGATGCTAACGACGCCGCGCGCGGACGAGTGCTAGCTAGGGCTATGGGCGCCTCTGTGATGAAAGAGAAAGAGAAAGAGAAAGAGAGAGATAGAGAGAGAGAGAGCGTCGCGCCGCCGTTGGCGCCGTTTGGCGCCGGCGCCGGCGCCAAAGCCACCAAAACCAACCTTCCTTCCACCAGGCCTTCCTTCCACCAAGATTCCACCAACGCTAGATAGAACTACGCTCGACAGTTCGAGTCCAGTCGGAAAGGCTCGTGTCCCTGGGCCCCCCTGGCCCAACCCCTTATTCATCTTCTCTTATTATCCTACTTATTCCAACTGTATCATTAAATAATCATTCATTGCGTATTCATTTCTTTACGATTATTTTTATCTTTTCGAGATAGATAGAGTGATAGATAAGGAATTGTCATCAAAATTTTCGTCCTACCTACCATTCCCTTTTCTTTTTTTCTATTTTCTTCAATTTTCCTCAGTAGTCTAAAGCTTGCTTAGATTCACCTAACGCATGCGCACTATTCATTCTCTATCTTTCTCTTTTCTCAACGACGATCCCCTTTTCGTATTCCTTCCACTACACCTTCCGACTACTATTCTCTTTCTCTCTCTCTCTCACCCGTTCCTTCCTTCCTTCCTTCCTTTTTCTCTACTTCCACCTGCTGTTCGTCCAGCTCCTCCTGTCGAGCGAGAACGAAGCGAGTACGTCGATGTGTGTCCGAACGCAAAGGACTACTAGGTCTTTCGCGCCCTCCATACGATCACGAACCTTCCTTCCTTCCTTCCTTCCTGGTACGTTCCTTTTTATCCAGCTACCAACTACCAAGGGATAGATAAGCTAGAAAAAAGTATAGGGAATCTAAAGTACTTTTCTTTTTTCTTATTCCTTACCAACCTAATAGTAGTAGTAGTAGTAGTAGTAGTAGTAGTACCTTTCTACGAATCTTCCAACCAACCAACCAACCAACCAACGAACCAGCCGAACCCTTTGTGGATCTCTCGAGAGATCGATGACCCTCGTTCGTTACCCCTTTTCGAAAAATGTTCTCTACCTAAACTTCGCTCCTATATACGAGTCCTCGACGTTTCGTTTTTGTCAAGTCAGAATATCTCTCTCTTTCTATCTTTGTCTCTTTTTCTCTCTTTATCTCAGCTTCTTCTCCCTTATTCCCCCACAGGACACCACCCCGCTCCCTCTACCCTCTCCCCTCTCCTCTCAATTTTCCTTCTCTATCTCTATATCTTTCTTTATCGTTTATATTGTCGTACGGGTGCCAGTGTGGGTGACGCTTAAAAGCGAAATTGGCCGTAATTACTGTTATCGGCGAGAAGACGTATGCGTCGTTATACCTTCCTCTCCTAGGCCACGTCGACACGCGTTGCGCACGCGCCCAACGACGTATCCTTTTTCCTCCTTCCACTCACCCTTTCCCTTTTCTGCCCCCTACCTACCTTTCTACCTATCTACCTACCTACCTACCTACCTACGAACCAACCTTCCTCCTTCTATCCTTCTCTTTCTCTTACTTGCACCATCGCGATCTATTACGTGTACCTAACTCCTCCTCCTTCCCCTCCACCCCCTTAGCCGTTCCATTCCTCTTTCTCCTCTTCCTTCTCCTCCCACTTACTTTCCTTCCCCCTCCCCATTCGTCCTATCTTTCTCTCTTCATCTTTCCACCACCACCTATCTTCTTCTCTTTCTCTCTTATCCTATACTACATCGATGCACGTTTTTCTCGTGTAGAAGAAAAGAGAATGAGGGAGAACAATATAAAGAGTACGAAAGAGAGAAAGAGAGAGAGAGAGAGAGTTCGCGTTTGTCCGGGTTAAAGGTCAACCTAGAACACCTTTCACGCCCTCTTCTCCCTCGTACCTTCCTTTCGTCCTTTCTTTTTTACGCACACCTGAAACAGAGAAAGAGAGACAGACTGACAGGACTAACAGATAGACAGATAGACAGACAAAGAGAAAAAAAGAGAAAGAGAGAGTGAAAAAAGCACGAGATAAAGAAAGATAGATAAGGAGAGAAAAGAAACGGAAGGGATATTCGAAGACCGAGATCTTGTTTCCTGTTTAACGATTTGACCGCATAGCAAAGGGACTAAAGTTTCTTGGATGATCTTGGATAAAATGACGTGTTCTCCGGGCGAAGGTGAGGTGAGGTGAGGTGAGGTGGGGGTGGGGTGGTAGGGAGGTAAAAGATAGAAAGCGGGCGAAATTACGGTCTCGATCCTTCCTGTTGGCGTCTCGAGGACGTGCCGCGGCACGTGACCAGCTAGGATCTCGCGCGGATATACCGAAAAGCTCCTGACTGGTCGACTACGCGGAGGCGCTTATCGATTTTCAAAGCGGCATTGCCCCAAACGCTGCTTTCCAGGCCTCGCTGCTGCTACCTCTCTCCCTCCCACCCTATATATATGTATGTATGAGTGAGTGCGAGGATCTGTATGAGTTTGTGTGTGTGTGTGTGTGTGAGAGAGGGGGGAGGAGGTTTGTAGAAATGGGTGTTTGTAGATGCAGGGTGCAAGAGAGGGAAAGAGGATAGAAGGATGCGAGGGGAACCAAGAGTGGGAGAGAGAGAGAGAGAGAGAGAGAGGGTGAGAGAGATAGAAAGAGACCGAAACTGGAACTTCGACCGTGGCTCTCGGACCATCGCCGTGGAACTCGATGCTATGCATGCGAATGTCTATGCACGCGCCTGCAACTGATTGCTAGGTCGTTCGTTTCGTCATTCCTACGGCAGGAATATTGAATACGCGACGAAACTCGCGTTTCCCTCGACTCCGACTGAGACTCAGACTCTCGAGCGTTCCTACGATTTTCCAGGATATCCGGTTAAGGGGATGTACCTCCATCCATCTATCTATCCATCTATCTATCTATCTATCTATCTATCTATCTATCTTTATTCCTATGTATCTCGTTCGCACTTACCTATACACCCTTCCTCGAATAAAGTAAGTTTATTTTGATCGTATTTTCTTACCATCGACAAGTAAACCACTATTCCCTCTCCTTCATTTTTTTTGGTCTACTTTATCTATCGTAATTTCACTGAAATTCGTTGAATTTTGTCTGACGTATAATAGTAGAGATCTCAAATGCATATTAACCGTTACTCAACGACAGGTGTATTAGTTAGTTTACGATAGACGAAGAAGAACAAGGCAAGAACGTCGATTTGAAGTTTCGTTAATTGGTCCCAATGGGGGGCCTCCGACACAGATACTCTTCTTTAGAGAAAAAAACAAAAAAATGGGAAAGAGATTGAGTTAGAAATAGTGATAAGAAATCAAAGAAATAGAGAGCCTGACTGTTGGGGATTGTCCTTTTCTTTTTTTTTTCTTTTTCTTCATTTCCGATGTTCGGGATAGAGAGAAAACGATTGAAGTTTAACACTCGTACCCGAACGGGATCTAAGAGTGGTTCGATTAAACGCCAGAACGAAGATCTGTCGTACGAGGACTTCGCGTCTTTTCGTTTGCGAAACTACGATTGATCCCGATCACGTCGGATTCCATTTCGTATCCTCCAAATCCTTCCTTTAGATCAAACGAGAGAAAGAGAGAAAGAGAGAGAGAGTAAAAGGGGAGGAGAGGGATGCAAGTAGGTATAAGAAGATCCTGCCAAACGGTTTCTATGTAAATTCGATGTCTCGCGAGCACGGAATTCGAAAATTCTTAGGCCAGAAAGGGGGCCGTTACTAGAAACGTCCCGTTTCAAGATTCTCATGATTCGATATAGATATCAGTTAACCATAGATAACCTTTTACGTATCTAATCATGCTTGATAAAACGAATCAAAGAAATATATAGAATCACTAATGTCTGTATACATTTCTAAATTCACGTTAACTTTCTCATGGGAATAGAATTATCCGAGAAAATTATGGATCTCATTATCAAGTGAAAGAGACTCGTACGCGTATATAACCTTTCACCCTTATCCTTAACTATTTTAAAAGAAAACACTATGTAGGCTCTATTAAACCGATGAATCCATTTGCTTAAGTAGTTCTCTCAACTTAATCGTACGTTCAAACTACCAACGTCTCGAGCAAGCAACTTGCTACTTCTACCCTACATCTCCTATCCCTTCCCTCTTCCTCTCCCTCTACCCCTCCCCACCCCCACCTCCTCTTATCTCTCCTACCTTTCTCTACCTGCTCTGCCCTATGTAAATACTTGCCTAATACATTCGTTGTATTATAGTAGGCAAAGTAGCTTGATTAAGACTCGGTTACCATCTCGCTTTACCGTATCGCGAGATAGAAATTTTCTTCTACCCTTATCCCACCATATAGTCAGGCCCCCCCCATTCACCCACCCTTCTACCACCCCTTTTGCATACAGTTAATATTCGCGCGGCGAAATCGTATATACATAGTTAGCCAAGTAGGAACTTCGAAATCACCCATTTTCCCTTCCCACCCCACCGTCCCATTTCGCTACCCTCTCGCGCGCGCAACTGCCCTCCTACCTCGATTCAAAACTCACCACCAGCACCATCCCGACCATTCTAACTAATTGATTATGCGAGAATAAATGATCTCTCGTTGTGCAGATGAATCTATGTAAATTCAATATTCATGGTATAGTTTAATATCTATCTATCTATCCATCCATCCATCCATCCATCTATTTATCTATCTATATATCGATGATGAAAAATATAACGCAAGTTAGGTTTTACCATTTGCATTATGAATACGCATTTTCCCTAACGGGGGATAAATTTTTAATCTAACCCTCTACCGGATTCTCGTTCTCTTTCGAACACGTCGATTACGGACCGACGACAGCGTAATAACTTTGTGAGTTTCGATATACCTAGCTAGCTAGCTAGCTATCTACCTACCTACCTACCTACTTACCATCCCTCTCTCTCTCTCTCTCTCTCTCTCTCTCTCTCTTTCTGGGTTGTATAGAAAAAGGAGAAGCCTTTAATCCACCTACTAGCCCACTGAAATATACATGAGTTTGGAGAATATATATTCTAACTGGAAGAAGAAGAAGAGAGGAAAAGAGGGAAAGGGGAAGAACTACAGAGAGAG